TGGTGAATATGAGATAACAAGGTGTAGAGCTGGATGAACACAGCCGGCCAAGCAGCATCAGAGGAGCAGGAAGGCTGACGTTTCTGAAGAAGGGTCTAGGCCCGAAACGTCAGCTTTCCTGCTCCTATGATGCTGCTTGGCCTGCTGTGTTCATCCAGCTCTACACCTTGTTATCTCATATTCACCAGCATCTGCAGTTCCTACTATCTTTGAGATATAACTCTGTACTCCCTGCAGTGTCAGACCTTGTGAGCAGACATTAACCAAACACTCCTTCTGCCTGTCTCTCCAGGCCCCAAGCAACAGAAAGGAGTGACATATCCATCAATTCTTGAATTCCTTCCTTCAAGAACGTCAAGAATTAGGACAGGTGAGTCAATTGGCTTCGACCTGGTGATGCAGGACAGGAACAACAGGCTCTGTTATACATATTGTTCCAGTTAGATACTCTCCTCTGAACTTTACCAAAGAAGAAAGGTGTTTCCTGTCAGCAGCCAGAATTGTCCTGAGCTAAACATATCAGAATTCAACTTCTTCATTGGAGTAAACACTGATAGCATTGCCACAAAATTACAAAGCATTAATGGAAACAGGTATGAGGGATAGAACTCAGGCCTCAAAGTCAGCCCTGGTCTGTGCTGGGTTAGCTGAAAGCCAGGTGTGAGGGGCTGGGGAGGATACATAGAAAGGGAGGAAATATCATCCATTTTTCCCCTTGCGATCACTGCCCAGTGATCTGGTGCAGGCACAGTGGACTGAATGGCCTCTTACTCCAATGAAAGATTTGAGTTAAATAGGAAGTTGAGTGATTTTTCAGAATCCTTGCCAAAAAATGGGGGGAAGTTGTTTGAACAAGGCCGTGAGGGGAAAGGGCCATTTTGATTAGGCCTGAAGTTAACTTTGCAAAGAAAGGAAAATATTATGAATGTGTTTCTTTTCTGAGTAATGGGCTGTTTTACACAGGGAAGCTGAAGACCACCAAGACACTGGCTCCCACTACCACAGCCACAACTCTCAGACCAACCAGCAGGGAGAGTCCCACACAGCAACCTTCAACATCTCTGCAAGTTGAACATGAAGTCATCACTAGCAAAAGCCCCGAACCAAGGACCTTTGTGCTAAGCAGCCCTTCACAGCAGCCTGCCCCCTCTTGGCAGATGAAGGATGAAGGTTGGTGGCACTGGGAAACAGGGCTATGAGAGGTGTTCGGGATTCCATAGTGACCACCTTCTACTGATGATGTTGCATTATGATCTTTTGCCATGAGAGGAACCGTTTTCTTTCTGTATCCACTCTGTCAAAACCTTTTAATATTAAAGATCCTGATTAGGCCACAACTCAGCCTTTTCCCAAGATAGAAGATGTATTTGCCCACACATTTCTGTATCATCCTCATCCTCATAAATCTGCTCTATGCCCTGTTCAGTGCCTCTGTGGCCTTTTTATAATAGAGACCAAACCGTACTCAGTTCTGTAAGTGTGGTCTAACCAAGAGTCAATACAGGTTTGGTATTAGACCCCTATGTTTCAATTTCTATCCCTCTAGAAATAAAACCTAGTGCTTGCTTTAGTTTTTAATCTCCTTGCTAACCCATGATGTAACTTTCAGTATGTGGTGTGTTTCTACTCTGAGATCCTTCTGTTCCTCTTTTTCACCGAGACTCTCATGTTCCAGGTAATTAGTGACCTCCCTATTCCTACCAAAATGCACTCCCTCACACTTATCTTGTCCAACATCAGTTTCCAATTATTTTCCCATTTTTCAAGTTTATTAAAGTGCTGCTGTAACTTGTGGCAGTCCTCCTCAGTATCGACCATCCCTGTCCTCCCATTGCTTTCCACCTTGGAGTCTCACAGGACCTCTGTCCTGTGATTATATAACATCAGACCCTGTGGATTACAGCTGTCTGGGACTTCTCTGTTTTCACAATGCTTCTGCTCATATGAATTATTGCTGGCACCACCCACTGTTTATTTTTGAATGGATTATGTCAATTCCAGGTCACTCCCTCTCCTGTCATGGTGGTCTGGGACAACAGTCAGGTGGGCAGCTCATGATGTATCCAGGGCACTTAGTATTTCGGTGTTGTTTTGGGTTTGTAACGCCAGAGGAATCCTGACTGATGGACTGATGGTTTTCTTTCCAGCATTCCGAAGATATCCCGTGTCCAAGTTCACCAGCAGGAACTACCCTCCACCACGTGCAGGTACCAGGCTCACGCTGATCCAACATTCTGTGTTTAACTAACTGACGCGTTACCGTGGGATCACACTGTGTAATGCTGATCCCTGATTTTCTCACCCCGCCCCTCCTCAGGAGTCCACCGCCAGGAGCCAGCTATCGCCCTGCGCAGGACGGGCAGTTTGGGCACTAGTTTCGGTATGTTTGGCCCATACACTTTAACAACACGCTGGACAACTTGCTTCTGCTCCGCCAGGGGTTTTATTTTCTGCTTTTCTTCTTGTTTTTCTTTCTTGTTCCTTCATCTTCCATTCCCTCATTCTCTCTTTTGCCTCATTGCTCTCTCCTTTCCTTCTCCAAATGCTGCACAATGGCCACAATAAAGCCTCTGTGTGTGTGTGTGTGTGTGTGTTTGTATGTGTGTGTGTGTGTGTGTGTGTTTGTATGTGTGTGTGTGTGTGTTTGTATGTGTGTGCGTGTGTGTGTGTGTGTTTGTGTGTATGTGTGTGTGCGAGTGTGTGCATGTGTTTGTGTGAGTGTGTGTGCGCGCGCATGTGTTTGTGTGTATGTGTGTGTGTGTCTGTGTGTGCGTGTGTGTGTGTGTGCGTGTGTGTGTGTGTGTGGGGGGAAAGATTGTGTGTGTGTGTGTGTGCGCGCGCACCTGTGTGTGTGTTTGTCTGCGTGTGTGTGTGCGTGTGTGTGTTTGTGTGTGTGTGTCTGTGTGT